CAGAACCTGGGCTGTGGGTCCTGGCCTGGCTTCGTGTGCCGAGCTTTCCACTGAGCGCCGCATGACTGGGTGCTACTTGGGGCGAGGGGGTGATGCGAAAACACTTTCTGTTCAGTTTCGAAGCAAGCTGCCCTAACTCCAGATCCCCATGCAATTTTGGAGTTCTTTCTTTTTTTCTTTGTGTTTTGAAACAGCAACGCGGTTTCCTCTCTGTGTGCCTCTCCGGCTTGCAGGCTGGCACCTACCTACCTGCGCATAAACCGAGCATGAGAATCAGGTGTCTGCGAGCCCCTTTCTTCTCAAACGGGACTCCTGAGGTTTCGCAGAGGAGACAGGGACTTGGGGACCTCGGAGGGAGGGATACAGTTTAGAGTTCAGTTCACACTGGAGGGCGGGTTTGTTACCAGACCAGCGTCCCACATTGGCGATGAACAGACGGGAAACTGAAGCTTCTTGGTCTTTGGCAAACATTTCCTGCCTGGGATCTTCTGAAGTAGGGGGCATCGGTGGGTCTCTCTGACCCTGATGCGTCCCAGGTGGCCATGGGCTGTGCTTGTCTGCACAAGGCTGCCCCTCTGCCCGTGTCTCTTGGCTGACCTCAGTTGCCTTTGAAGAGGGAAACAGTAGGTTGTGAGGTTGGGGAGGCTGCTCTCTAGGATTGAGATCTGGCCCCACGATCTCAAAATAAGACACGCGTATGTCAGCACCATGTGTGTGGGGGGTGGCGCCTGCATTCTGTGGTCAGGACTTGTTCCATTGAAAGGACAGACCCCTTCAAGCTGCCTTAACGCCTAAGAGGTCTCTGCAGGCTCTTGGGAGGCCTGGAGACAGAAGACTCGGGGTGCCGTGTTCCAGGGTCTCTGCTGTTGTCCTCAGATGGCTTGATCACATGTTGGAAGAAGGGTGCCTCTGGTTTCTGAAGGAGCCTGGGCTGAGTGGGATGTCCTAAGTGTCTGAGCGCAGCATCTGTGGGTGTCCTTGGTGCCCCAAGGTACTGCTCACCTCTGCCCAGGAGCCAGCACTGGGGAGAGCGACTTAACCAGACAGATCCACATGCAGATGGCACCAGTGGGGGGAAGGCAGAATAGTAAATCCTCACCATGAGCCCCTGCTCCACTGGGCCATCTGTCCCAGGGTCTCACCTGGCCTAACCTTTCCCTCCCAGCACTGGGGTGGCCCAGCTCATCAACCTGTCCTGAAATGCCCGGATCAGGGTCCTGCCCACCTCCCACCTTTTTCTTCCTGTGCTGGAACCAGGCTCTGAAAGTCCTGTCTTAGCCTCTGTCAGGCTGTGGATGCCTCAACCATGCTGGATTGTCTTATGACTCTTTGAAAGCAAGAAACATCAGAAAGCACCAAGAGATAGAGGCTGGTTCAAGGTTTTTCCTTGGCATATCTCTCCCATTACTTCTGTTATCCTTGATTTCCCAAAAGGTGGGACATTTCAAGCATTCAAAACCCTGAACCCTGATTAGTTGTGAGATGGGCTGGAGAGAGGGTGGCATAGAGGGCTGCCCCGTGCTTTCCACTGAGCTCCACCTACATCTGACCCACTGCTCTGGGATCAGTATTTCGGCTCCTTATATTGCTTTACTTACCATCAGATTTAAGGACCACAGTGCCATCTCTCTTTTGCTTAGGACAATGATGGACAAATAGCTCCCCAACTTATTTACAGGTAAAACTGTGCACCTAGTCCATTTTCTGTTGTTATTACAGAATATCTGAGACTGAGTAATTTATAAAGGAAAGAAGTTTATTTTGGCTCACAGTTCTGGAGGCTGTGAAGTCCAAGTTCGGGCAGCCGTGTCTGGTGAGCACCTTGTGCTGCTTCATCTCTTGGTGGAAAAGGGAAAGGGGAAGCCAGCATGAGTGAAAGAGACTGCAAGAGCGAGTTGAGCTTGCTTTTTGCATCAATCTAATGTCATGAGAACAAATTCACTCCTGCAACAACTAACTTGCTCCCATAACAGTGACATTAATCCATTCCCAAGGGCTCAGCCCGCATGACTGAGCTGCCACCTAAAGACCCCATCTCCCAACACTGCTGCATTGGGAATTAAGGTTCCAACACATGAGCTTTTGGGGGACACAGTCAAACCATAGCAATACTTACATAAAAGCCAGCACATTTCTGAACAATGGGCATTAACAGGCTATCATGAGAATCAAATTTTTCTCTGCTCTCTGCTTGCATCTCCTAGAAGGAGACACTTTGGTGTACCTTGCTCGTGAACAGTAGGCAATAAACAAGCAGTTGATTAATCCCGTTTGCTTCTCCCAGACTGGAAAGATCATGATGGTTGTTGGAGGGAGTCTCAGATCCTGTGGGAGATATTCCTGAGGGCTCACAGAGCACTCTCCATTAGACATACCCCAGTGAAGTGTGTCTAGTGGGAAATTAGGTTACTTGCAGTGGAGCCGGCCCTGTGAGGAGGCCTGCACTTCTGTCCAGCAGAGCTCAGCAGCCCCTGGCTTGAAGTTTCAGGAGGATGCTCAGGTGAATGCGGCTGTCCCCCAACACCGTTGAAGGCTCCAGCGGGAGGGAGCACCTCATTCCCAATCCCCAGCCACCTGGTGATGAACTGAACTGGCTTCTGTGCCTCTCCCAGGTCTCAGGGAGGCTGGTGGGCTGTGGGCACCTCCCACATTTCTGCATGAGATGCAGCCTGTACGCAGATGACTCACATTCTGGCAGCACCACACTCCTGTGTCAAAAACACACCCACCCCACGTCACACCCCTGGGAGCCCTGGAGGCCCCCTTTTCTGGAGACTTGCTGAGAGCGTTTGTTCCCGGTCAGTGCGGAACTCCACACACATGAATGAAGAGTCAATTTGCTTTTCCCATCCCAGGAGTGGAGGCTGTGATGGAGCCTCTGATGATGGAGGGAGTTTCCCCATTTCAGGGTGTGATCTTGGCTGCAGATCCAAGAGAAAGCTAGCTGCCTTCCCACCCTCCGACCACACACATGCTTGGCTTGTTGCAGTGGTGGCTGTTTTCTACATTTCCTTTGAAGAGTGATTTAGATTTGAAGTCAGAGTGTCAGGACTTCCAGAGGCCACTGCAGCCTATGCTCCCTCGGGGGCTGTGCTTCCACACCCAGGGCAGAGGGGGGAGCCGGCGCTGGGTGAGGAGGTGATGGGAAGAGGCGCATGGCCTCCCTCCTGAGGAGTCCTTGCCTCGAGTTGATGTGTATGGGTCTGGTTGCTTTCTTCCCCAGGTCACCAACTTATTTTTTAAATTTCCTTTAAATTACTCAAGTAACACACAAATACGCCTCCTTGTTAAAAAATTACATATAATGCTATCTGCTGGAGGCTTTGGCTCTGGTGTAGCCTGGGGCCAAGGAAGCCTCATTACACCCCTCTGAGAACCAGGCTATGGCCACCGGGTTTTTGTTCGTCTTTTCTATTATGTGGGGTTGGTGCTGCAGTTTCCCTGCTGATGCCCCTCTGTGGTCCAGGTGGCTGCAGGACACAGGGCCCTCTGTTGTCTGTGCAAGAGTTCACAGCGGGCTGTGGCTTTGGGAAGACAGAGGAGAAGATGTCTTTTCCAGGCAGTTTTAAGAGACCCTGTGATGGATTAAAATTAACCCTAAGATATGGGGCGACGGGGGTGGGGGACAAAGCAAAAAGAGTAAACATTCCATTTTGCCAAAACATTAGTAATAGAGCGCTAGGATAATTGGGTTGAGGCTAGAGGAGCTGTCAGACAGATGCTGCAATGGGAGCCCTGTGAGCGCTTTGATTCTGCAGTGGGGTCCAAGGTGCCTGTCAGGGGCACCAGAGCTGCCGCTTCCTGGGAAAGGAGGGGCTTTTGGTAGAGGCCAGGATGGCGTTCCTGAGGGGGGCTGCCCTCCTGCTCTGTCCTGCACAAGTCAGTGCCTTCCTGAGAGCTGGTCACCCTGAAACGGGGGAAGGGTCTCATTGGAGCAATGATGGCTCAGGAATGGGTCACAGAACAGAGCAGGCATCGGACAAATAAGAGATGCTTGACTTGACTGACTGGGAATCCATCAGACACCATTTATCCTGGAGCCATGCCGCCTCTGAGCAGCGCTGGGTCCTGGTGGAGTTGCTGGTCTCCTGTGCCTCCAACTATGGCTCCTGAAGGAGTCTATGCCTTTCATTTAGGGTAGAGCCATAGCTGCAGAGTCCTCTGAGCTGGCACCCAGGAGCAGCCCAGGAGAGAACGCCCGTCTTCAGAACAAGGTGCTCTCATGGACCTGTTCACTGATTCTTTTGTTCATTCATTGAACAAATATTTAGTAAGCACCTGCTGTATGCCAGATGCCCTCTAGGTCCTGGGGTTGCAGCCATGAATGAGACAGAAGCTCTGTCCTTTCTGTAGCTGACATTGTAGAGGGGAAGGTAGCAAACACACACACAGTGGACAGAGGATATGTAACATGCCACATGGTGATCAGGACAATGAAAACATCAGTGAGTGGAATGGAGCTAGAGCAGGCAGGGGGCTGGTGCTGTTCAGAACAGGTAGGGAAGGGAAGATCTCTCTGAGGAGCTCCTTCATGCAGAGGCCTGGCGTGGAGTGGGGAGGGAGCCTGTGGCTGCCTGGCGTGGAGTGGGGAGGGAACCTGTGGCTGCCTGGCGAGGAGTGGGGAGGGAGCCTGTGGCTGCCTGGCGGGGAGTGGGGAGGGAGCCTGTGGCTGCCTGGCGGGGAGTGGGGAGGGAGCCTGTGGCTACCTGGCGGGGAGCATCCTATGGGGAGGCATGTCGTAGGGGGAGGAGTGTCCCAGAGGGAGGACCCGGCACCTGCCAGGGCACTCAGGTGGGTTGGAGAGAGCAGAGCAGAGGGCAGCATGACCTGGGCCGGGTGACGTGGGACCACACCCACGATGGATGGAGATGGACATCGGTGGCTGTGCCTGTCCCTGCCCGAGGTCGCCCAGCCGTGAGAGTCTCGCTGTCATGTCAGTGCTGAGAACCAGGGGCCTCTTCAGCAGCGTCATGCATCGTGTTTGTTTTCTTTCATTTCAGACACGTAAGCAGCACAGTGAGGCCACCAACAGCAGCAACCGAGTCTTCGTGTACTGCGCCTTCCTGGACTTCAGGTACCCTCTGCACAGGGGAGAGTAGGTGGGCACGAGGTGTCCAAGCCCAGACCCGCCCCATGCCAGCCCAGGGGAGGATCTGGGTCACCCATTTCCGCAGCTGACATGGTTGCATCACACGAAAACGCTGGAAATGCTGCAGACATGGGTGGGGCCTGGCAGCAGTGCTGGGTCGAGGCCTCCCCTCCAGACCATGTGAGGAGGGGCCTGCTGTTGCACGATGTGTCTGGACAAAGCCTCTGAATGCCCAGGGTGACTTTCAAGCCAGTGCAGCAGATGCTTGGGGGAGCTGGAGGATGCCGCCCGTTGGGGCAGGCCCTACGGCCCTGGCTGTCCCCCTCAGGGGTCTTGGAGCGGCTGAGGAAGGGGGTTGGGGGAGTGGCTTCTGACTGGCCACTTTGGCATTTTCCTGTTTGAAACCTTGCCGGCTCCCCTGGAGCATGCTGGCCATCAGGCGTGCCTAAGACTCTGAGGCTTCAGTCTCTGCCACTTGGGCCCCGACTGGGACGTCCTCCCCAGCGTCTCCCATGTCCACCCGTCACACCTGTCTCATGCAGTCTCTTCCTGCCCTCCTAGCCGCCCCCGCCCCCAGCTCGCCTCCACAGCTCACCTGCCCGATGTCCGGGGGGTCTCCCACCATCACTCTGATCACAATTCTCCTCCAGACGTGAGCCCACCGTGAGTGGCTCCGCAGTCAGAGCGGTGTTGAAAACTCAGCTCCCCGCAGGGCCAGGGAGTGGAGGGAGGGTCGGGCCTTCCGGATCCTCAGCTGCTGCTCAGCGGTGGTCCCCGGGGCTTGTTCCATGTGGGATGCAGGTCGCAGATCCTGTGTTGTCAGGTCATGAGTTTTCATGGCTGGAGTTTGTTTTCGTTTTTTTTTTTAAGACACGGTCTCACTCTGTCACCCAGGCTGGAGTGCAGTGGTGTGATCTTAGCTCACTGTAGTCTCAAACTCCTGGACTCAAGCGCTCCTTCGGGCCTCAGCCTCTCAAAGTGCGGGGACTACAGGTGTGAGCCACTGTGACTGGCTGTGGCT